CAGCATCTGGGTATAGTCCTGAAATTTTAGATCATGTGACTCCTTGTAAAGAGAATGGATGATAGGGGTGATTTAAAAACAGTGCTCTTGTAACAGTTGTATGTGGGTTGAGTACAGATGAATGTTTTATTCTTGGAAGTAGTTTCAAAATATATGGTCTCCTGAATTATTATAAGTTAAAACTTTTATACAGTTCAACATTGGGAAAAAAAAATGGGAAATCAGTTACATAGGATGAGAGAGACTATTACAGCACCAACTTAATGGTAGAAGAGGATCCTAGCCCCCTTTTCTCGGGAGTGAATTATTGTGGCTTCTGTCTTTGTGGTCATATTTTCTAGTTACCACTCTATAAACTGTCAGAATGAAAACAGTGATTTTAAAGTAAAGATGTTAATACAAATAAGTAAAAATCACAAAGCACAAAATATTATGCAAAATATGCAGTTCAGTTATTATAAAGAATCTGAAAATAGACAAGACAAAAAGAAATTAAAGTAAGCCTTATTTTAAAAAAAGAAGAAAAAGATAAAGTAAAAAAATGCAGTCCCACAATTTTAAAATGAACTAAAATGACAATATAAGATGAACTAAAATATCAAAAGGATAAAAAGATTAAATGAGCTTTAGGAATGCAAACAAGGGACTTAGATATTTAAAATGTAAAATCTCAGTAGACTAAAAAAAATAAGCCTGTACACTTGGAAACAACATAAAATCCTCTTGTGGAAGCACATGTTTGTCATAAAGGGAGAGACGGGAAGCCTTGGCCTTGCTCTTTCTCTGGTTGGTGCTTGTATGTTACCCATGAAACGTTCCCTCAGTGGCCAGGGAACTAACTGGTTTGATCCTGGGTGCTGCTGCTGAGTGCCTTCTGGCCAGTAGAGAGCAGCCGCACAGAGAGGCAAAGACCCGCTGAGCTGATGCTAGAAAATAAGATGTATATACTGATGTGAAATGACCCCCCAGTGTGCGAGCAAAGAGAACTTGCCTAGGTGTTTCTTTTTAAAGTCATTCCCAAATAATTCAGAAGCAGCACTCCTCCTTCATTCATCTTAGACTTTCATTCTCTGAATTTCTTGCTCAGGATCCAGCTCTAGGAGTTTGTTTTTTCCTACCACTTTAGCAGCAGTAGATGGTGTTATCCTCTAGTCCTTAAGCCCCTGACTTCATCTGGTTCTTTTTTTCATATTCTTTTCTGATTTCCTAAAGCCTGTTTGAGAGCTCTCCAGTTCTCTGAAAATAAACACATGCACACACACACACACACACACACACCCCAACAATCCATACCTGCTGCCCCCAGTTTATCCCGATAGCCATTACACACAACCTGAACCCACCCCTCATAGATAAACACACACAGCCAACCCCTCCCCCCGACATGCATGCACACATGCACACGCACGCATATACACAGATGCACACGCACATGTGTACTGCCCTTTAGGCCTTTTCTTTCCCCTCAGAGGCTTCTCCCCTCTAGCTTTTCATATCCATCATGGTGCTCCCCATCTCCACCATGGATATAGATAGAAATACTGTAAATTTATTGTTTCTTTTCCAGGGAGATTTTTTTTAAAGCCTCTCCCCTGTGATCTATAAGTAATGAATAATTCCATTAGAAATATGATGAATAGTGTAACTTTTATGCAGAGGTTTTCAAGCTCAATGTTTCAGTGCATTTACTTTGATGAGAGCCCCGGGCCATGGAGGTTTGGAGCTCATTCTGCTGCCGCTGTAAATTTTCTCTTGCCACGATCCCCAAAGTGTGTTCCTTAGGTTCTCATAGATAATGCATGTATTTTAAAAGGGCACCCCCTCTAGGCTCAAATAGGTTTCAGGAATGCTGCAGTAAACTGACTTCTTTAATCCTGAATTCCCCAAAGCATTTCATGTGTTAATGTATCCTGGGCCAATCAGTATTTCCAAAAAATATCTGGCCAGGAAAACTTACTTTTTCATCCAAACATTACATCTCTAGGCTCAGATTCCATGGAAAATACTTTAAGAAGTAATAGTATAATGACAATAGTACATTTTCTTTGTTCTGCAGAGAAACTTTTACAGTTGCCTTATTGAGTTCAAATTTACCTCAGTATATTTCTATCAAGTTGGCATTTCTTTCTATTTTTAGTCCAAAAGCTTAGTAAAAATCTGTCTTCAAGCTGATATATAATTCTGAAACCTCAAGGCAGAACAAATACTTTTCACTGTATTACATTAAGAGGAGTTTCTATAAAAGAGTACTTCGAAAATCAGTAATCTTTATAAAGGATAATGGCCTAATTATATTTTGACTAGGTATTTAAATCAGTACTTAATGCATGTTACATGGTAAAAAGAAAATTATAAATGCATCATCTTAAAAGCAGTAGAAAAAGAAAGAGAACACATATGGATCCCCCTGGGAAAAGTCCTTGCAGACACAGCTCTGGAACAGAGGGCAAGTGGGGCAGGACACCTCTAGCTGCAAAGCCATCCACTGTCCTGAGGCTTCCATGTGATTTTTTGACACTGTTTGGGAGGTTACTTGGGCACAAGGGACAGGATTTGAGTAACACTCTTCTAAGTTAAGTAAAGATTAGCCTTTTTCTAAGATCTAAGAAAATGCAAATAGGAAGGTAGTCTTTATGCCAAAACCTATCACAGAATAGCATATCTCCTGTTCATCCTCTGAACTGAAGAGAGAACTTTGAGCAATGAGTAATTTCCTAGGAACTCCACGATTCCAGTGGACCTCAGACCTGGTCTGTGTTTAGTGAGTGCTTCCTTCTAAGTCACCACTTGCTTCATTCATTCCTCAGGATGTCATAATCTTGTGCTCAAAGGATCTCCCTATTACTGAGTTTTGCATTTTAAAAGGAATCAGAGAATCAGAGCCATGGATCATTTGAGCATGTGCATGCATGCATGCTTAGTTGCTTGGTTATATCCAACTGTTTGGGACCCCATGGACTGTAGCCTGCCACATCTCTATCCACGGAATTCTCCAGGCAAGAATACTGGAGTGGGTTGCCATTCCCTACTCCAGGGGATCTTCCTGACCCAGGAATCGAACCCAGGTCTCCTGCATCGCAGGCAGATTCTTTACCTGTCTAAGCCACCAGGGAAGTCCCCCCGCCCCCAAATACCTAGGGATGCTTTGGAGAGTTAGAACAGGCTTTCCCAGAGTGCATACCTGAATCTATTTTGTAATAACTAAGTAGCTATTTTATATCCTATTAGGAAAAAATTCTACCCAAGGTGTTTTTCTTTTTTTTTATGATCTTCACCCTCTTTTTAGCACTAAGCAATCTAGTAGGCACATACTGTGTACTCAGCAGGTGGACAATGATATAACCACCTACTCTCATTTTCTTTGTTTATTATATTTGTAGATATCATAAATTGTGTTTTCTAAGATATATGTATATATGACATCAAAGGATGGCAAGGCAGCCCTACCAAAGGATCCTAGATTTGGAAGACCATTTACTCCATCACCACCATGGTGGTCCTTGGATCTCTGAGTGTGCGCCTCCAGTGAAGATGAGCAAACCATTTTCTGCAGCAGGTCATTTCACTTTGATTAATATTGCTGGGATGTCTTCCTTGTTCGGAGCAGAAAAGGGGTTCCCAGTAGAAACTAACCATTGGACAATGTCGGTGTTGTCTCTCTTGTTTCCTGCAGGTGGTTACCACATACTTCATCAGTGTTTCTGCTCCCTTGACTTGCTGGAACTATTGTTCTCCAGATTCTGCTCTTTCTATCTGACTATAGTTTCAGTCTTCTTTTTGATTTTTGTCTTTCTGTAAACCTTTGTAACTTGGGATTAATTGGGCCTTCTTAGGTCTGCTCTTATTCTGTTCACTTTGCTAGTATACCATTCACTACCTTGCCCTCACATAGATCTGATGATTCTCAGATCTTTATACAGGCTGATATATCTGTTGAATTCTGGATGCATATTTCTGTGCGCCTCTGCACATCTCTGCCTACATGTTTCCAGGATCCTTAGACTTGACAGGGTCAGAGCTAAGCCTGAATTCCCTGTGAATCATCCTTTTAGGAAACATCTCTATTTTTTCCTTATCTGAGCTCTTTTTGAACATCTTAGTGCCTTTATCTGGATAGTGTCAGTTAATTATTACAAATCACACACAGATACATGCACACACATTATGAATCCTTTTCTAGAAATCTAGTTTTTATACAAAACATTGGTTCCTCAGTTCAGGTCAGTTGTTCAGTCGTGTCCAACTCTTTGCAACCCCATGGACTGCAGCACACCAGGCTTCCCTGTCCATCACTGACTCCGGAAGCTTGCTCAAACTCATGTCCATCGAATCAGCGATGCCATCCAACCATCTCATCCTCCGAGGTCCCCTTCTCTTTCTGCCTTCAATCTTTCCCAGCATCAGGGTCTTTTTCAATGAGTCAGTTCTTCGCATCAGGTGGCCAAGTATTAGTTCCTAGTGGAAGGTATTGTAACTTGTAATGTATATGCCTGTTGGATGCTATTTACTCAGGTTTCAAACAGCATCCTCCCATGGGACCCTTTGCTTCTAATGAGGGGGACACAGTGGGCACACAAGTCACCACTAATGCATCCTCAAGTTGTCTGCTACATCGCGTGTTCTCGTCTAGGGCTTTAAAATCTTCTCATAGCCTCCCACAGTGCTACACTAAAATGTGCATTCCTGGATGCCTACAAATAAAAAATAAAAAGTCACACAAGTATCACAGTCTCTTGGAAAACCCTTCCATTGATACAGCCTTTCCCAAGAACACATTCTAAAACAAAACGTGACATTTTCTCTCTGAAGATTAGATTCAGGACAAAGTATCTCACACAAAGTTGAGACTGTGTCAAGGCCACATTAGTCTTTATTTAAGCAGCCGGTTTTTTCACCAGGGAGTGTCTCGTCCTGGTCTCAGAAATTTCTGTTTTCGAGATCAGGGTACGAAGGTAGCCGCCTCTTCTCTGCTGATTTCTTTGGCACTGTGCTCCTTTCAGAACAAGATCATCCTGGACCCCATGACGTTCAGCGAGGCCCGGTTCCGCCCGTCCCTGGAGGAGCGCCTGGAGAGTATCATTAGTGGCGCAGCGCTCATGGCAGACTCTTCGTGCACCCGCGACGACCGGCGCGAGCGGATCGTGGCCGAGTGCAACGCGGTGCGCCAAGCGCTCCAGGACCTGCTCAGCGAGTACATGAATAACGTAAGTCCTGGGCTCTCGGGCCCGCGCCGACCGCTGGGGGAGATTCCGGTGTGAGATCGGGTGGCTCCAGGACAGGAGATGCCCTGAGAGAGTCGGTCAGGTGAAATCCAAGAGCTGCTTTGGGAGAGCTCTGTCTTGATTTCTCAGAATGCGTTAGCAAAAGGAACGAGATTGGTGGAAGAGGTTTCAGAGGAAAACTTTGGCTATTTACTTGAGTGATTTCTGGGTCGTTTTAGTGGTTTGCCTTTGACTGAGGAAAGTTTGCTGTTGGTAAATGTAGATGGAGGTTGGAAATAACTGAGGATATACTGAAGTCCTTTGCACAGAGTAATGTCAAAATCAAGGGCAGCTATGGATGGCTAATCTTCACCCCTAAGAGGCATTAGGAAATACAGGTTCTCACATGTTTGGACCGAGTTGGTTAAGGTGGAAACTTCTAACTGTAATAGAATTTGGGGGAACTTTATTGATTCACTGTGCGTTTAGAAGTTGTTATGAGAATGAGTCTTAAAGTTTGCAAGTGGATATTAGTAATACCTAGTCATATGGCAGCGGCGACAACAGCTGTTCTCTCCTACAGGTATAAAATGTGATAGTTTGTGTAGACCGGTAAACCAAATGAAGGAGATGAAATCATATTCTTTGTTTTGAAAAGCGCTGAATTTATGTATTCAGCAGAGGTGATGTTGTTGATGCCCACGGCTTGTAACTGTGAATGTCTGCATTCCTCATGTTCTGGATTCCTGGGTTGGGAAGAATTTAGCATAAAGTGGGAAAATGTAGTGAGGCCTTGCCATTACATGTTGAAGGAATGGCCTGTGTAGTTGTCAGGTAGAGAATGGGGAGTCTGAAAATCTGCTCCCATCTTTTGAAACTCACCCTGGGTCCTGTTGGAACAACCCCAGGCAAGACTGAGACAGAGTAGCCAACCCATGTCCTTCCCTCCTTACCACTCCTGTCCCTAACCAGTGTGTAGGCCCCTGGGTCAAGCCAGGAGTCAGTGATGACAGGCACAGAGCTACTTCTGCCAGACTTTCTGGAGAACTTTGATCTAAAAAACAAAATGGTGCTGAATGCTCTATAAAAACCCAAATCTGTTTCCTTTCCATACACCTTCAGATTCTTTGATATTGAAGACGTGCCCATTTTCAGCACACAAAGAATAAGATGTGGATGACTCACGTGGTACCCAGCTGCTTATGAGGACTCCTATGTTGGATCAGGATGGCCAACACTTTTGGGATTTTGGGCTACGGGTGCTATGCAGGGTAGAGCTAGAAACTCTGATCAGTGTCTCCCATCCTGTGAGAATCTTGAATAACAAGAAAAGAGGGCTTATAAAATCTGGGATTCTGTTTGTTTTTAACAGAATGGCAACAGCCTAATGATTTATATGTGGAATTTGGTTTTATATGAAGGCATGCTGGTATTTCTAGCAATGAAGAATTACTGCCAGAGACAAAAGTAGAAACTGCAGAGATCAGGAGTGATGGTTAAGATATCAATATAAATATATCAGAAACAAGAAGTATGTTTCTGTGCTCTTTTAATCACAGGATGTGATTAAAGAAGAATTGATCGAGATGTGACATGTAATTTTCAGTTTGTTGTCTCGAATCCTGTCAAGCACAAGTGTTTTTTTTTTTCTTTTGGTATAAACTCACATAGTTCAGCAGAGCTGATGGATTTTTTTGGTTTTATTGACTCCAGGTGCTTGTTTTTCTGTTCACAGCTTTGTGATACTGGAATGTTTTGTATTTTTATTGAAAATTTGATTTCTACTTTGATACAGTTATAGATAATATGTAGGTGGGTATAGTGCTTAAATTTTAAAGTGTGCAAATTCTATTCACTTTGAACCACTAGGATCAAAGGCTGATATAAAACACCTACTATTGACTTTTATATAAAGTGCATAAAATTTACTTTGTCTTCACACTTCTTTGGTGATTTCAAGGTAAAATTGGATGCATCTAGACCAGCTTCATAATCCATGTCTAGTGCACTTATATCTATTGCCACATATCAATTTATATTTCTTTTGATATAGCATATATTAATATAAAACCACTACACATCTATATGCCTTAGCTAAAAAGTCTGCTGTAGTTAATGGCAACCAAAAAATTAGTCAGTTGTGACTATGCTGTTATATTTCTTTTGTAATTTTGTTAGCTCTGGAAATGAAGGTATCATATTATCACTGCAGATTTTCATCTTGACATGCTATGCAATATCATTAGGATGAAGAAATAATTATGTTGAGAAGGAGAGATTTTAAAACTGGCATAACTGACACTTCTGATGAAATTCGACATATTCAGGGTGGTGTGGCTATAGACAGAACTGACACTTTTGGATTTTAAAAATCTCCTGATCAGTTCTTGATGAAAATTTAATTCATCAAGGTGAAAGTGTTCTAAAATCATACACATACATGCCAAATGGTATGAAATGGAGGGAGATGAACACTGAAGACAAGAGCTGTACACTAAATAATTAGGAGAAAGTCATCCTCATGGGGCATGAGCCATGCTTAGCCGTGTGGATACACTGAGCGCCAAAGGGTATCAGTTGTTTGTTAAATGTTTCCTAAAGGTATATTCAAGTTAATGAATGCGTGTGATTTGAAGATATAACAAAATCATGCATGTAAAAGAAACAGTGTTTTGAAAAAGAAAAAAGGACTGAATGTACAGATGCATGTAGCAAAGTTTATGATCACAGAGTGTGACAATGTTAGAAAAGTCTATTGGACTGGTTTTAAGAAAACCCTTGGTGGCCTTAATTATTTTTTAATCAAGTTTATGATGTAATCCCAAGAAGAGTCTTAAAAATAGTGTCGCTTTAAATAGAACAACATTATTGTACGTATGTGGAGACTAATGGGTAGAGAGAGACTCTTGTTCAAAAGGATGTGTGACCTTTGGATTATTGCCATCAGGGTGGTTGTTGCAGTATTATACTAAGTACTATAAATAGATTCAAATTATAATGAATATATAATTTTGCATCTGGAACTTATAATTTTATGCAGCTTTTTTTGGTGGCAGTAAAACTCCCTTTCATAAAAAAATCTAAAAAGTGGTCCCAGGATAGGAAACAATTAAAGAGGGTATTTTATTGATAAGAATTTTGTGATGGATTTTAATTTAGAGTAACTCTATTTATTTAATGAATATGTGCTGTGTGCCTGGTACTTTGTACCAGACACTCTTCTAGGATTCTGGGGTTATAGAAGGGAAAAAAATAGACACAATTCTCAGCTTTCATGGAGTTTACATTCTAGGTGGGGGAGACAGACCATCAATCAGCCAGTCATTTGAGCAAGAGTTATCTCGGATGGTGATTAGTGAAACATGGAAATAAAACCTAGGAAACAGCAGCATGGAGTGTAGTTGTAAGGATGACCTGGAAAAAGTTCACTAAGAAGATGACACATGGTTAAAGATATTCCAGAGGTGAGGGAGCAGACTGCACTTGAGTCGGTAGGAGCAGCAAGGTCTAGTCTCTTCGAACTTATGTGGGAAGGTGCCAAGCTCTTTTTTTTTTTTTTTTTGGCTCTTGTTTTTTTAAATTGCCAAAATTTTAATTGTGGGAGATTCCATTAAAAATCAGTACTTTCTGTTTCCCTTATACAATGAAATGGTCCGAAAATCTAGGACGTTCACACTTGGCACCAGTGAGGTGGAGATGAAGAGAGCTTGTGCCTTTGATGGACAGGCATGATCTGGTCACTTTCACTGGACTGGGCCCCAGGGGCACTTGAATCTATCTTCAGTTATAGATTTGTCTGGGTGGAAAGCATGACAGTGTCCAGCTGCATCCACAAAAAGTTGCTTCCTGGGCCTGCTAGTGTTCGAGGGTCTTCTGTAGGGGCATGGGTCAGCAGTGGTTCAGTGTGGGAATGGGGACACTGGTAGCAGCGGTCCTGGGAGATGCCCCTTCATGCCGGGCTCTTGAGGAACCTTTCCGGGGAGGTTCGTGTGGCTGTTCTAAGTGAGTGAGGGGTAGCAGGAGATGGAGTCTTCCAGAGGACAAGGTGTCAGACTCTGCAACGCCTTACAAACCATTATTCAAAATTTGACTTTTGTTTGAATATAATGGGAGGCCTTTGGAGCATATTGGGCAGAAAATGCCTTGAATTAGATGTTGAGGACAGGCCATAGGAGTTCAAAGGGTAACAACGCGGAAGGACAGAGGAAGCGCCCTTGAATCATTCAGGATGGTGGCTTGTGCCAAGAGGTAGCGAAGTGCTCAGATTCTTACTATTTATGGCCTTAGAATGGACATCAGGCAGTGTGACTGACCGCTGCAGTTGTAGACACCCTAATATGATCTCTTCAGTTTTGATATCTTGTCTTATTTTAGTTACACAGAAAATTCTGATTTTCTCAGATATAGCAAACTTTGTAAACAGTTCACTTTGTAATGTCTGGATACTCTGCTAGGACTGATTAAATTTGAAAAAGGAGTTCAATAGAAACATTTCGTTTCCAAGTTGTATCACCAAACTATCCAAATATGATTCCCATTGTTATAAATGTAAAAGATATAATGCTTATTTTAAGTGCTAAATAATGAATGCAGAACTATATGGAGATGTGGCAATCTGGTACTTCCTTGTACATTCTTCAGCCTTCATGAGGAAATGTGGTAAGTAGATATGTCTGGACCTTGTGCCTTGTGATGCTGAACTGCCTGGTTCAATTACACAGACAAAAACACTGTGTGCTCTAGATTATTCATTGAAAATTAATCCACAGCTACAGTTTTCTTAAACAATTGCACAATTAAAGATTTTTTGCATAATGATGCAGAGACTTAGGTGGCATAAAGGAATGGCTTTCTGATCTCATCAATATTAAAGTGTGGCAGGTACTTTTTTATTTTTTTTTATGAATAATTAAAGTTCTATATTTTTACAAAATAATTGAATTAACTTTTTTCAAACTTCTTGAACCACCTAAGTGAATCCCTGGGGATAGTGTGTAAACCAC